AGAATCGCGGGAAGAACTAGAAGCCATAAATGAAATCGAAAGAAACCCAAAGTATTTCTTCTCCTATGCCAAATCAAAGTCGAGAACAACGTCCAGTATTGGGCCCCTACTTAAACAAGATGGGTCCTACACAGATGACAGCAAGGAAATGAGTGAGCTACTCAAGTCCCATTATGACTCACTTTTTAGCAAGCCGCTAACCAGACTGAGAGTCGAAGATCTAAATGAATTTTTTATGAGAGAGCCACAGAATTTGGTTAACACAAGCCTATCTGATGTTATCCTGACGCCAAATGACTTCGAACAGGCGATAAATGACATGCCCATGCACTCTGCCCCAGGGCCAGACTCATGGAACTCCGTGTTCATCAAGAACTGCAAGAAGCCCCTATCACGAGCCTTTACCATCCTATGGAGAGGGAGCATGGACACGGGGGTCGTCCCACAGTTACTAAAAACAACAGACATAGCCCCACTCCACAAACGGGGCAGTAAAGCAACAGCAAAGAGCTACAGACTGATAGCACTAACATACCATATCATAAAAATCTTTGAAAGGGTCCTAAGAAGCAAGATCATCACCCATCTAGAAACACATCAGTTACACAACCCAGGGCAACATAGGTTTAGAACAGATCGCTCCTGTCTGTCTCAACTATTGGATCACTACGACAAGGTCCTAGATGGACTAGAAGACAAAAAGAATGCAGGTGTAATATATACAGACTTTGCAAAAGCCTTCGACAAGTGTGACCATGGCGTAATAGCACACAAAATGCGTGCTAAAGGAATAACAGGAAAAGTCTGTCGATGGATCTATAATTTCCTCACCAACAGAACACAGAGAGTAGTCGTCAAAAGAGTAAAGTCCGAGGCAGCTATGGTGAAAAGCTCTGTTCCACAAGGCACAGGACTCGCTCCCATCTTGTTCCTCATCCTCATATCCAATATAGACAAGGATGTCAGCCACAGCACCGTGTCTTCCTTTGCAGATGACACCCGAATCTGCATGACAGTGTCTTTCATTGCAGACACTGCAAGGCTCGCAGGCGGACATCAACCAAATCTTTCAGTGGGCTGCAGAAAACAATATGTAGTTCAACGATGAGAAATTTCAATTACTCAGATATGGTAAACACGAGGAAATTAAATCTTCGTCAGAGTACAAAACAAATTCTGGCCACAAAATAGAGCAAAACACCAACGTCAAAGACCTGGGAGTGATCATGTCGGAGGATCTCACCTTCAAGAACCATAACATTGTATCAATCGCATCTGCTAGAAAAATGACAGGATGGATAATGAGAACCTTCAAAACTAGGGAGGCCAAGCCCATGATGACACTCTTCAGGTCACTTGTTCTATCTAGGCTGGAATATTGCTGCACACTAACAGCACCTTTCAAGGCAGGTGAAATGGCTGACCTAGAAAATGTACAGAGAACCTTCATGGCGTGCATAACAGAGATAAAACACCTCAATTACTGGGAGCGCTTGAGGTTCCTTAACCTGTATTCCCTGGAATGCAGGCGGGAGAGATACATGATTATATACACCTGGAAAATCCTAGAGGGACTAGTACCGAACTTGCAAACGAAAATCACCATTTACGAAAGCAAAAGACTTGGCAACGATGCAACATCCCCTCAATGAAAAGCAGGGGTGTCACTAGCACGTTAAGAGACCATACAATAAGTGTCAGGGGCCCGAGACTGTTCAAATGCCTCCCAGCATACATAAGGGAGATTACCAACACACCCCTCGCAGTCTTCAAGCTGGCACGGGAAACAAGCACCTAAGTCGGTTAATGACCAGCCGGGGCTGTGGCCATATGTATGTTTGCATGCAACCAGCAGTAACAGCCTGGTTGATCAGGCTCTGATCCACCATGAGGCCTGGTCACAGACCAGCCGCGGGGGCGATGACCCCCGGGAAATCTCTCCAGTAAACTCCAGGTATATATATATATATATAAATACACCTATATAATATATATATATATAATATATATATATATATATATATAATATATATATATAAATTATATATATATATATAGAAAATTTTATATATAAATATATAACAATAATATATATATAAAATATATATAATATATATAAAATATATATATATATATAATTTTATATATAATATATGTATATATATACATACATATATATATATATATTATACATATATATATATGTATATATATTTACATTATAATATAAATAATATAATATATATATATAATATATATATATATTTTATATATATATTATATATAAAATAAAATTTTAAAATATATATATATTATATATATAAAAAATATATATATAAACAATGCACCACCAAACAAGCAAATATACAAGAAAGATCGATCAGCAAGAGGAATTACTAACTGAGAGGGTCAAGATTCTCAGGAAGCCATAGTCCACTCTGCCACAAAAATGCCACAGGGACTGGGCAGCCTGGTTCACAGGCCATGTTTCTTTCCCATCCCCGGCAAGTCAGTGAGCCTCAAGCGACTAGAGCTCTGCCTGAGAATCTTGACCATTCTCAGTAGTAGTTTCGAATCCTGCTGACTGCGATCTTTCTTTGTATATACCCGCTTCTTTCTGCGTGGTGCATTGATATAAAAATCGCTTGAGAGGTCAGAACATACAGGAGGAAATTGAAAAAGCTTGAATCCATGCTTGGAGCTCACTGATGTGCCCGGGCTAGGAAAGAAATATTGCCTATTAACCAGGCTGCCTAGTCTACGTGGCATGTGTGGCCGAGTGGACTAGATCGCTGCTTGAGAATCTTGACCATTCTCAGTAGAAGTTTCGCAACCTGCTGACTGCGATCTTTCTTTATATATATATATATATATATGTATATATATATATATATAATATATATATATATATAATATATATATATATATATATATATTATAAAATATATAATATATAATATATATAATATAATATTATGCGAATATCGCAAACCAAGTGAAACAGTTTGCAAAACAACCACGGAGAAGTAGAATGATAACTCTAGCCTTTTCGAGTTGGAATCAACACATCATCAGGAGCTTGCAAAATTGCAGAAAAGAGGAGAATGTCACAGCAAGTACGTTCCCAGAGGATGGTCGATCGACGATCCTCGACGAACGTACTTGCTGTGACTCTCTCACTTTTCTGAATTTTGCAAGCTCCTGGATGTGTTTTGATGCAACCGATAAAAAAGGCATAGTGTTGTTCATTCTACTGCCCACGTGATTGTTATATAAGATATATATATATATATTAATATATATAAATAATATTTTTAATATATAATATATATATAATATATATATATATATAATATTATATATATATATATATATAAATATAAATATATAAATATATTTATATATATATATATATATATATATATATATATTATATATATATATATAAGATATATACATACATATATATATATTATATATAAATATATATATATATATAATAAAGATATATATATATATATAGCATATATATAATATTTTATATATATAATATATATTATATATATTATATATATTATGATGTATCATATAGTGTATGAATGTATGTGTGTTGTGTGTGTGTAATTGTGTGTGTGTGTCAGTCCCGTATGTCTTGTGTGTTTTGTGTGTCTTTTTATGTGTGTTTTATGTCTCTGTCAGCGTGTCTGATTTTATCGGATATTTTGTTGTTTACTGCTCTTGTTTTCGTATTATTCTTATCATCTTTCCAAAATTTGAAGAAAAAAAGTACTTTTGAAATCGAAAAAAAATAAACTTTCGTATATACTGTACATTGCATGCTACCCAACATAATTGGTATTTGTCAATTAACAGCTGTAGACATTTGTAAATTTTCGTTTATTTTATTAGTTTATGAGGTAAACCTTCAAATTAAATATTTCCACAATGCATCATGTTTACAACAACTAAAAGAAATCCAAGGACTCTTCCTGACACTCAACTATAAAAGCCTGGAGTCTTTGCTGTAAGACACTCGCTCAGCTGTGGCCAAGTATGATACATCTTACAAACATGAATCTATGGGAGTTTCCTCCCACTTCTCATAATTTTTATGTTTGCCTTTTTCTCGATATTAGGGCAATACTTTGACTTAGATGGACATAAATAATTTATTTTGCCATTTCATATTATAACGAAACACGTCAGAAATATTACCATATTTTCGATGAGATTCTCAAATTTTAAAAAAATTATTTTTTGCAGTTGTCAAGTCATGTTGCTTACAGATTATTTTAATACATACAGGTTTTTTGTGTTACTGCGGCCTGCCGTTTGCGCTTCTGATAATTGAGAACGAGATGGCGGAGCCCGGCCTCAATATTTGCGCCCACATTATACCCATACCGTCAATCATCTGGTAAAAGCGGCCGGTCCAGAGGCTTATCCAACACATCCATTACACTACGTTTCAGCATACCCTACATGAATAAACACTATCGCTATCAGAGATCTCAAAGCCCAGTGGCCTGAATCCCTACAAACCCTCCGATACTAAGTCCACTTACCCACGATAGAATCTCTATCGCCACGTAAGTATCTGCAGAGCCAGAGGCTGAAACTACTACCCTCGACAATGTTCCATCCTACCCTTCAGTGAAAAACCCCTACCGCTACGGGAGATCTGCAGAGCCAGAAGCTGAACCTACCTACCCACATCTCTATATTCCATCATACTACGAAGTGAATTCCCACTATCGCTACTAAATATCTGAAGAAGCTGATGTTTATGCTGATCCTCCTCCATGGTTTTGTCAGTGGGTGTCAGTCACTATTGCACTGCCACTTGCAAACAACACTCAACATTCAAAAGATCCAACGATCCTTCATTCATTACATACAATGACAGCCATTATTCCCAAAACCATTCTTCTTACTAAGACATCAGGGAACTACAAAATATTTGCTTGCAACAATGTTTTTTTCTTAAACGAGTGTCTTAAGAACAATAAAAAATATTAATGACGAAAAAGTTATTTTTTTAAATACCTAATAGCAGATCATTTTTCAATATAGGTAATTCATAATTTTTATTAAGAGAACGCGTTAAATTTTATCGAATATAAAAATTTGAAATATTTTTGTTCTCTTGGTTCTCAAACCATAAGAATTATACTACAGGTTAACTAAGTTGGAAATCCTTTACTCATGGCAGTCTACAGTACGTGAATATCCTAGTGTGAATAGGCTACAAAAATAATAACATATATCAGTGATAAAATTATAATAATTATGAAAATAAAAATAATAAAAAAAAATATAAAGAGAAATAAAATATTAAAATATTAATAATAATAATAATTAAAAATAATAATAAAATAAAAAAATTAAAAAATAATAATAATAAAAATAATAATAAAAATAATAATAATAATAATAATAAAAAAAATTTATTTTAAAAAAATATAAAAAAGTATTTTCCTTGAAATCCAAATCGGTATAGAGAGTACCCCACGACCCCTTTTGAGGCGGGGAAAATGGCAGACCAGAGACCTATTTCTCCCACAGCCCCTTAGGGCGGGAATTTGGCTGGGCCGGGGGACATTTGGTCCCAAAGAGAGGGGGCATTTTTAACCTTCTCCCAGGGGGACTTACTCCGAGACACTCCCCAGTAGGGAGCAGCCGGGTCAAAATTATTTGGGAAAGCCCCGGGCCGGGGGAAATACCGCGAATAAAAAAAAAAAAAAAAGACCGGGCCCGGGGAGAATATCGCAATAAAAAAAAATAAGAAAAAAAATAGTCTTACTAGCAAAATGTTTATAAGTTTTGGGGCCATCCAATATGATAAAAGACAATTTTTAAACCAATTTTATCTAACATTACTTTTATATCCTTTTTTTGGGCGGGAGTTCCCCAGTATGTTTAGTAAAAATAAAAGGCGACTCAAAACATCCTTATAATTCACCAAATCCAAAAAAGAAAAATCTGAACCAGGTTTTCTTTAAAAAAAAAAAAGATCATGACAGTATGAATTCAATAAATGTTGCAAAAACAAACAGATCAACACTACGGACTCAAGGGGGTTGAAAATTAAATTTAAAAAGATTTTTTTTTGAAACAGAAAATAATTATTATTAGTAACGCCACTCGAAGTAAAATATAATTATTTTTAAATTTTCATAAATCTGTAGCATAGAAATCTTCAAATTTAAACAAATTAAAAAGGAATTAGAAAAATATTTTTTAAAAACTTGTAGAGTGGGGAACAGCCAGTTTTTAGTGTGGGGGAAGTTCTGAGGCACTAGGGAAAAAAAAGGGGGAAGGCGCCGGGAATGTGGGATAAAGATAGAAATTTTTAAAAGAGGGGAGGATATAGTTTTGGAGTGGTTGTGCAATTATTTTTTAAATGTAAAGGAGGGTTTAAGGTACCAGGGATTTGGGAAAAAGGGCATGCATAGTTTTCCTTTGTATAAAAGGCAAAAAGGGGATAAAAAAAGAAATGCAAAAAAATTTTGGGGGATAAGCTGTTGATTTTACCTGGCAAAGTGTTGGTAGAGTTATTTTTGAAAGAATTAAGATAAACAGATAATAGGATAGCAGATGAACAAGAGGCTTCAGGAAAGGTAGGGGGGGTTTTGGACCAGGTGTTTTTCAGGAAAAAAAAATAAGTGGGCAGTATTTTGATAAGGCAAAGGGTCTTTGTGGGATTTACGGATTTGGAAAAAGCGTATGACAGGGGATAGGGGGCAAAGTGGGGGGCGATTTGCAGGGGATGGTGACGGGAGGTTTCGAAAGCAGTGAAGAGTTTCACTATCGCTGCAAGGTATTTGGGAACACCCTTTCCCAAACAAAAACAGTGGGACAAGCTCTTATTGTAGCACCCTTAAGGGGGATATCCAAATTAATCCGGGCCTCAAAATATTGTGCAGAGGCAAAAAAAGACAGATAAAAAACGGGGAAATGACGGTCTGTACTAGGGAAAGAAACCCAACTCCATATGTAAACTACTAGGTCAATGTGAGACAATAACCCATTATTAATATCCAAACACTCCCAAAACAGGGCATACACGTCTAAAGTCGCAAAAAAAAACAGAAAAGGCACATTATTAAAATTTTAAGGGGTGGGTGCATGATGAAGTATGTACATTTTATAGAAAAAGGTGCCAAATTCATTTTGTGGAACAAATGCACTTTGGCCCACAGTTACCCTTTAGCAGTGATAAATTTGATTTCCAAATTTTTAATTTTTTTTACAAATGACCCTTGCCATATATATTGATGATTAGATTGTTTTATAAAAAAACGGGCCTTCACTTTTTTCATGTCAATGTAAGACACTTTTTTTCCAAATTTGGCAAGATTAGAATTTTTGCTAACAAATTTGGGGGGGCAGTTAAAACCATCTCTGAAACTTGGGTTTGGGAAAACGGGGGATTGACGACGCTGTCAAAAAAGAAGGTTACAATATAAAAACCCTTTAAGAGGAACAGAAAGGGGGTGAGTAGTGCCACATTAGAAATGACTTAACTTACAACCCAAGACCTGATTTAAATAACAATAAACTGGAGATTCTATGGTTTGAAGTGCTGCTAGTTACAGCCCTCCCACCCAGGACCATTTCTTAGAAGACTTTTCCATAGTATTGTCTGGAGTTGAAAACAATTGCGAACCAATAATACTGGGCGACTTCAATATCTGTTTTCAGCAGCAAAATAACGTGCTATGCAGAAGGTATAAGCAAATTCTAGGATTAAATAGCTACACTCAACTAATTAATACACCAACCCAGATCACGCAGTTCTCAGCCACCCTAATTGACCACATACTTTGTAACCGCACTGAGAACATTAGTCAATCAGGCATCATTACCACAGGTCTTAGTGATCATTTCATCATTTACTGCACCAGGAAAATCACTAGGGATGGGATAGGCCTTCACAGGACAATAAAAATGAGCCCAACTAGAAACTACAGTAAAGAAAACACTGGTAAATAGGCTACACAATTGTGACTGGACAGAGATAACAAGTTGCATGGATGTAAGCAATGCCTGGGAAAAATTCAAAACAATGTTCACTACCATCCTTGATAATATTGCACCAGTTAAAGAGGTTAGATTTAAACGAAGAACTGAACCCTGGATGAATACTGAGATTTTAGATAATATGAAATTCAGAGACCAGCTGCTAAAAAGATTTAAAGCAACAGACAGGATATTGCAGCACTAAATAAATTTCCCAAAAGGGGTTTGAGGAACAGAGTACAGAGACTTATAAAAGGAGCAAATGCAAAGCACTATTGCTCAAAAATTGAAGAGTATAAGCATAACCCCAGAAAGCTCTGGCAACAACTAAAACAGTTGGGGGTATAGCCATAAGCCAGTAGATAGGTCTAACATAGTACTCACTATCGATAATGAGGAAATGCCACGAAACATATAAGGTGGAAATTGCTTTATTTCCTACTACACATCTGTTGAAATCAACACTAGTAAGTAAACTACCAGCGCATCAAAATACCTTTAACACACAGACTCTTTTAATTTTTCAAAACATACTATACCAATAAAGGGTAACCCCAAACAGTTTCAACTAGTAAGTGTATCTCATGACTTCATTCAAAAGAACTAAGCAGGTTAAACCCAACTAAGAGCACAGGCCCTTATAACACCCCGTCTAAGTTCCTAAAAGAGGGTTTGCTTCTGAACTGTCAATCCCTATTGCTCACATAATAAATCTATCAATCACCACTAATACGTACCAAGGGGTTCAAGGAGGCCAGATTTACTCCTATCTTAAAGAAAAATAGAAGGTCTGATGTAAGCAACTATAGGCCTGTTAGTATACTCAGATAAAAATCTAAAATTCTGGAGAGGGCGGTGGTATTCTCAAGTAGTTAAGTACCTTAAGGGACAACAGCATTCTCCATAGCATCAATCGGGTTTTAGAAGATCCTACTCAACCGACACCTCCCTTATTTATCCCGATGGATTACCTGAGAACTGAAATGTCAAAGGGGAACCTCATAGGTATGGTAAGCTTTGACCTGCAAAAGGCCTTGATACTGTCAACCACAATATATTATGTAAGAAACTTCAAGCTATCGGTATAGGTTTTTAGACTGGTTTAAGTCCTACCTTAGCAACAGGAGACAAATAGTCAAAATCAACAAAACAGAATCAGAACCCCTGCCGTTAAAAATGTAGAGTTTCCCCAAGGTAGTATTCTGGGGCCCTTATTATTCTTATGTTATGTCAATGATATGCCTATCAGTGTCAAGTGTAGACTCCTACTGTATGCAGAAGACAGTGCTCTGTTTTTGTGACAGGTAAAGACCCACAAGATATTGCTAATGTTTAACACTGAACTGGATTCCTGCAGCAAATGGTTAGTAGACAACAAACTATCATTTCACCTAGGGGAAAAATGAAGGCCATTCTCTTTGGCACGAAACATAAAATGAGAAAGGGGAAATAATTTTAATTGCTCAGTGTAATGAGAGCCCATCACTTTGGTTTCATCAGTAAAATATCTGGGAATCCCCTTTGACTCATGCATGTCAGGAGAATTGATAGGGGAAAAGTTTTAGTAAAGAAAGCGAATGCCAGACTGAAGTTCCTGTATAGACAAGCACAGTGTCTACCTACTGAGGCTCGCAGGACCCTATGTCTAGCTCTTATACAATGACATATGGATTATGCTTGCTCTTCATGGTACTCTGCCTTGACAAAAAAACTGAAAGATAGACTGCAAATCACCCAGAACAAAATCGTAAGATTCATCCTGGGGCTGGACCAAGAGAACATGTAGCCAGGATGAATTACAGCAGTTGGATATGTTGAATGTTGAAGACAGAGTAAAACAACTGAAGCTAAATCATGTTTATAAAATTTCTCACAACCAGTGTCCAGAATATCTTGCTGTCAATTTTGTCAAGGTTGGGAACCAAAGCAATCATAGTACTAGGGGGAGAGAGCACAACTTTGTAATACCCACAGCATTGGCCAGGCGTCAAACACCTTTTTATTGTACAGCAATAAAGAAATGGAACAGACTACCCGCACATGTCAAAACCAGTCATAGCATGAACCAGTTTGAAGAAGAATGCCAAAAGGGTGTCTGATGAATGTAGCTACAGAAAGGGGAGGGGATGATTTTTATTTTTTAGCTAACATAAGTATAAATTTTACCTTATTCCTAGTAATGACCCTCGTATTGTAGATAGTCTTAATGACCCTCGTGTAGTAGATATTTCTTTTTAGTATGAAATATGATGTTATCTTCATTGTAAAATAATAAGAAAATATTATAACCTTTATATTACAATAATAAGGTAAAAGGACCCCAATGGAAATAAGTCACTCTGTCTGACTTTTTTGGGTTATCCTAGGTTCTCTACACATATGCTGCTATGTATGATAATTCTATGTAACTGTATTTGTGTATACCTGAATAAACTTACTTACTTACTTACTTACTTTCTTAGTAAGTAAGTAAGTAAGTAAATAACCAATTATTAATTGGGAGGACGTACTTGAGCTAGGGGTTTAGGGTTTCCCTACTGAAAAAAAAATTATAATAATAATGATAGCATTAAAAATAATGATGATGATCACTTAAATACACTATTACAGAAGATATCAAAGTTACTTATTTACTTGAGAGCCACAATACGTAGATAAAATAGTTTGTCCCTGTGCATGTCCGTACTCTGTAAACATTTGTCACTGCAGGGAATACTCATTTATATACGTATTGTAATTATGCTCTCGACAAATGTATTGTTTATCCAAACTATTTGTTTATCAAATTTAAATAAATACAGACATAAACATAATTACAGTGTTAGACGTTGGACTGTAGGTCCAGCGAAGCGCTGGCAAGTGTCATATATCTTATCTTACCTCCTAGGAAAGGTGGTGTTAGAATTCCATAGTGTCTCTGTAGTTCAGTTATGTAACTTAAACATATTTAGACCGTTATGATGTCGTCGTCTGATAATCATAAGTTATTACTATGTGGTGATAATTTGCTTTTCAATGGAGAGAAAATCTAACTCAAAAAAGCTAAGGGATGCTGAACTGCTTAGCCCAGAATCCCGCAACAGGGGTCATTTTTTCCAAATTCCTGGCAGAAAAAAACACCACAAACTTAGCGTATGAAAATCTTATATTGAAGATACTAGTTTTACCATCTAATCTCTGTCAACAGCTTCGCAGACTTGAATTTGATAATGCTGTAGTCAAAAGCAGATATACGATACCAAAGTAAGTATTGCTTGTCTTATGGATGTTTAATATTTTTCTCTTATTTTTGCTTGTTACTCAAGAATAACAGAGATCACTAATTTCTATAGGGGAGAATTTTCAGTTGAAGTTGTTCTTTAACTTTCAAATATTGTATATGAGAATGTCTGTACTTTTAGCAATAGTTTTAACAGAGAATTTTGTTCTTTCTCATACTTTATATCTCTGGCCAGGTTACTGAAAGGACTAGTGGGTGGACCAGGAAATTTATTACCCCCACTTTAATTGCATGAAAAACTATCAATTAAGTCACAGGGAAAGGGTGTGGTATCACTCAGCTCAGCCCAACAACACCTGGGTGCGTCCTACCCTTTGTCAGTTACTGTCGACTCCCTACAAGATACATCCTCTTTATTTGACAGAATAAAGTCTCATTCCTGTTTGCTCCCTTTTAACCTATATGACCTTTGATAAGAAAACCCTTTTGAAAACAGTTAGGTTTTCTTTTATTCCGAAACTTTTTCGCCACGAAAATAGGCTTCTTCACTCTTTTACTCGACTGAAAAAACCCCTTAC